TGTTTCATTTATTTTTTGACAACCCTACATTTTCTTATTTATAGAAATTTTTTTTATTTACTTGTACTAATAATAAATACACAATACACATTACCATCTTTTAAATACAATAAGATACTCGTAATACATCAAGTAATACAACTGTGTAACAGTAAATGACACTATGCTACACTATTAATTAATATAAGTTATACTAATAGTAAGTACATAAAACACATTGCCATCGCTTTATCTACAATTAGATAGTACAGACAAATCAAGCAATACAACAGTATAACAGGAAAGGACACTATGCTACACTATTAAGGTGAGTTATACTAATAATAAGTACACCATACACATTACGATCTTTGGTATAGAATTAGATTCTCATAACACGTCAAGTAATTCATCTGTATAACCGTAAAGGACACAATGCTACACAACTGAGGTGAATTATAGTAATAATAAGTAGACATTACACAATACACATTACCATCTTTTATATAAAATTGTGTATTACAGACACAACAAGGAATGCAACAATATGTGACCATAATTGGCAAAAGGTACCTTATGGCGGATTTTAAAAATCATCTTTCTAATGAAAAATATCAACCTGTGAGTTCTCTGTTAGTCAACAATTGTTTCTATGAGCTACATAGTAACTTTTTGCATCCTCTGGAGTAATTTTATGATAAATGGAGCTCAGGAAGTTGGATTTTTTAGGCTATGAAGACCAGTTTTCCTATCTGCCATAAGGTATCTTTTGTCAATTATGGTCACATATAATAGAGCAGGACACTATGCTACACTATTAAGGTGAATTACACTAATAATAAGTTGAAAATACACATTACCTTCTTTTATATAAAATTGAATATTACAGAGACAACAAGGAATACAACAGTATAACAGGGAAGGACACCATGACACACTTTTAAGGTAATTTATACTAATAATAAGTACACAATAGACATTACCATCTTCTATATAAAATTAGATACATGTAACACATCAAGCAATAGAGATGTAGAACAGTAAAGGACACTATTTTATGCTACTAAGGGTAAATTATACAAATATTAAATACACAATGCACATTACCATCTTTTATATACAATTAGATACTCGTAATACTTCAAGTAATACAACTGTGTAACAGTAAATGACACTATGCTACACTACTAAGGTAAGTTATACTATACTAATAATAAGCACAACATACACATTACGATCTTTGGTATAGAGTCAGATACTCATAACAAGTCAAGTAGTACATCTGTATAACAGTAAAGGACACTATGCTACACTACTAAGATGAATTGTACAAAATAATAAATACACAATACACAATAATATGTTTTGTATGATACTTCTAACACAACTGTATAACAGTAAAGGACACTATGCTACGCTACTAAGGTGAATTATACTAATAATAAGTACATAAAACACATTGCCATCTTTTATTTACAATTGGATAGTACAGACACATCTAGCAATACAACTGTATAACAGGAAAGGACACTATACCACACTATTAAGGTAAGTTATACTAATAATAAGTACATAATACACATTATGATGTTTCGTATACAATTAGATACTCCTAACACATCAAGCAAAAGAACTGTATAACAGGAAAGGACACTATGCTACATTACTAAGGTAGTGTAGACACAAAATCTTAACACAACAAATGATGTACTGTGCTACAAGGAATGAAGACAAACTACCTGACGTATTGTCAAATCTTTCATGATGTTGAGGGATCATTCAAAACCTTTTTCACCCGCAAATATCTTATCATGATAAATATAATCTTTTCAAAATGAATTTAAGAAACTGTTTCACATGTTTTGTCTTTGTTTTTTTACGTTTGTGGCACTATGTCCTAACAAGTAGAAAATAGAAGAAAAACATACAGTCTGCTTTGTAAGCGCTTAATAGTCTACCTTTCGTTCTCAGAGCACTAACAGCAAATGCACACACTAGCTGGACTGGTCACTGGCTTCTTTAGTTGGCTTCATGGCTAGAAGAAAGAATGAGTCAAATTACAACCTAAATCTCGAGCGCTCAATACGCTACACACATTTTTATTGAGTGCCAACAAAATAAGAACACTCTAACAAACACACTGACTGTCAAGCTTACCTTTGTCTTTATCCTAAACAATGATAGGAGAG